GGGAGAGGGAGAGGGAGAGGCAGGGAGGGAGAGCGAGGGAGGGAGAGGGAGGGAGGGAGAGGGAGTGAGGGAGAGTAGGGAGGGAGAGGGAGGGAGAGGGAGAGGGAGTGGGGAGGGGAGGGAGGGGGAGGGAGAGGGAGCGACAGGGAGGGGGAGGGAGAGGAAGGGAGAGGGAGAGAGGAAGGGAGGGAGAGTAGGGAGGGACACGGAGGGAGAGGGAGAGGGAGATGGAGTGGGGAGGGAGGGGAGGGAGAGGAGAGAGAGGGAGACGGAGGAGGGAGGGCGAGGGAGGGAGGGAGAGGGAGGGACAGAGAGGGAGGGAGAGGGAGGGTGAGGAGAGGGGAGAGGGTTAGAGGGAGAGGGAGGACGGGAACGAGGGAGAGGGAGAGGGGAGAGGGTGGAGGGTGAGGGAGAGGGAGAGGAGAGGGAGAGGGAGAGGGAGGAGTGGGAGAGGGAGGGAGAGAGGGAAGGGGAGAGGGAGAGGGAGAGGGGGAGAGGGAGGGGGAGGTGAGAGGGGAGGGGGAGGGCGGAGAGGGAGAGGGAGAGGGGGGAGAGGGAGTGGGAGAAGGAAGAGGGAGTGGGAGAGGGAGAGTGGGAGAGGGAGAGGGATGGGTTGGAGGGAGAGGGAAGAAGAAGAGGGAGAGGGTGAGGGAGAGGTTAAGCGGGAGGAGGAGAGAGGAGAGAGGAGAGAGGGAGAGGGGAGAGGGGAGAGGGGAGAGAGAGGGGGGAGAGAGAGAGAGAGAGAGAGAGAGAGAGAGAGAGAGAGAGAGAGAGAGAGAGAGAGAGAGAGAGAGAGAGAGAGTGAGAGTGAGAGAGAGAGAGAGAGAGAGAGAGAGAGAGAGAGAGAGAGAGAGAGAGAGAGAGAGAGAGAGAGAGAGAGACCGGCCTCTGGCGTGCTTTCCAGCATGTCCTGCACCGCTTGCGTGACAGCGAGAGCGTCATGGCTGCGAGCCACGAGCTCGCTGACTTCGTACCGCGCAGCGGCCGCGTAGCTTCGAAAGGCGGACCAAAAGCTGCGCGCGACCGGGAAGGCGATCGCCCTGCCCTCGGAGCTGAAATTGGCCGCGTCCAAGAAGACAAGCCGCCCCCGCGCGATGCCAAGGTTCCATACGCTGCAATCGACCCGGCGCACGCCGTGCGTGCAGCAGGCTGCAATCGCACCGACCGCCGCGGTGAAAATCCGCCCACGAACCGCGTCGTCTGCGCCTTCCAGATATTCCGGCAGCGGCCTCGCGCCCTCCGCCGTGATGAAGCGCAGCTCCCGACGCTGCCATTACATGCCTGTCTGCCTCGCCGCGCAGAGGCCGCGTCCAATGACGCTCGGAAACAATCTCCGCAGCTGCGAGTGGCGCGAAAGAAGTACCTCCGCGTCGTGGCTATCGGCCTGCGCGGCCACCTTGAGCACCGGCAGTCCACCTTCCACTGCGTAGACCACACGATGCACGCAGCGCCCCACTTCCCTCATCTCGAATGCCGGCAGATCGCGCGCGCTGATGAATACACGCTCCGGTAGATACGAGATGAGCTCGTGCCCGCCTGGCGGCCGTGCCCGCGGGTGACCTTCCAGCACCAGATCAAACCGTGGCACTCCATCTTCCACGCGCGTTCCCGCCATGCCGTGCCCCTGCCCGTGCGCACGCACCGTCTGCTACGCTGCCCTGTGCTCGAGCCAAGTAGCGTTGCACTTACCATGCCCGTTTGCTCAACCTCTTCGACGCCCACGTAAACTGTGTCTTCCCTACGGGGCCTGTCATCATCCCAGCCTGAGTCCTCCCCCCGGCGCAAATCCAAGTCCATAAAAATCCTACGCGCCGCGTCTCCTGCCTACATTTACCCCCCCCAAAACACACCACTAAGTCTCCTGCTCGCAGAGCTCCGTCCGGTAACAAACTCTTGCCCAGCTAGATGCCTTTACACCTGGCAAACAAGTCTAGAACCCCCGTACCTCCAGAGTTTCACGCCCCGGACTTTTTCCGCCACACGCTCTTCCTGTCCACTTGCTTGTCACCCCGTATCCTCACACACCCGCCGCCGAAGGCGCAACCACTATGCGGGCGCAGAGAGTCCGGACTACCCGGTCCGACCAAGTCAGTCAATGTCGGCGGACTGAGCCGGAGGCTCTCAAGTATATATATATATATATGTATATATATATATATGTGTGTGTGTGTGTTGGTGTATACGTGGGGATATGTGGATGTATCTGGGTATACATGTGCATACAGTATACATGCAGTATATGCAGCGCAAGGCAATGCAATGCAATGCAACGCAATGCAATGTACTGTAATGTGTGTATATATATATATATATATATTGTTTTTGTGTGTGTGTGTGTTCGCGCGTGTGTGTCTGAACCTAATTATGGAAATCCATGTTGGACCGGGCCGATTGTCCATACTTAAGCCATTGAGGTTCATTTAACCAATAAACTCGAGGCGTCATGCCAGGGAATGTGTCATACATCCAGCCTAGGGAACAAAAACCCAGGATCTGTCACTATCGGATCCGAAAGGGTGGTGAAAAGGGTGCCTCGTTATATGTATTGCAGTAGCAACGCATATTTATATATATATATATATATATGTATACATATATATATATAATATGTCAGCATTTTTCATAACCTTACAAATAAACCCGCTCGTTGTTCTCTCTCTCTCTCTCTCTCCTACAAGCAGAAATCCAACCACCAGCAACTAAAGAACTGTCATTTTGGTGTTCTTTCCAAACGATAGTACTTACTCATGTCAGTAGAGAAACCTATCCGAGATCGAAAATGGAGCTGGCAAGCCCAAAGGCCCCAGGCAACATTCGATAGGGTGTCATTTCAAAAGAATATTCGGAGCCGATTCGCCGATTCGCAGTGGCCCGATTCGGCCTGAGACTCCGGGAAAAGAGCAGCGACAAAAGCAGCATTGCCTGGGATCCGATTCGCATTCCATGCAGGTGGCTTTGCTTTGAAACCGCCAAAAAGAAGGGTACCAACTCCAAAAAAGACGCGCCCATCTCACTTTTCACGCAATCATTGAGTCGGGGCTGCCGTGCCTTCCACAAAACACGCGCCTTTGAGGCGCTGGAACAAATGGGCAGTTGGCAGGTTTGCTTTTTCAAGGCCAAAGACCCTCACAAGACAATCTGGAAAAGGAAAACCTACGGACCCCTTCGACCAACTACCCAAACCGGTGGTTTGGTCATCGAACTTCGAGGCGAAGAACACCCAAGGATTGACCAACTCCCCAAAGCACGTTCTTTGCCCCCTCGAACTTCGATTGGGCGACTTGTCGCTAAAGCGCCGAGGGGCCCTCTCCCAGCTCCTGGCAGCGCCAAAACAAGCGGTGTGGGAGATAATGTCAGGAGCCACATCCTTGGGCGAGACGGCCCGGAAGGACGTGACGACGGCGCCGAAGACTCGCGCAAGATGAAGACTCGTGAATAAACACCTGGATTGGTCAACCTTATGCAGTGCTAGGGAAGAACCGTCATTTCAACAGGCGATATCCCTCTCCCCCCCCCAATAAATCGACAAAATGTGAATCACACTGTGCTGTTTAAGTTGCATTACTTTGCTGCGCAGCGGGTGAGATTGCATTACACTACATTACACGCTTATCTGCATTACATACGTGACATGCAATACAATGCATGACATTGCATTACGACGAAATTACGCTGCTTTCTATTGCATCTCAGGCGAGCAAGTTTCTCTTTTGACAAAGGTACGCACAATGGACATCACATGGGCCCAGGCTCCGCCCTTGTCACAGGCGCTGATTGCGGCATTGCAACCTTCGGCTGGCAGCGTCGACGCATCTGTCTTCTTTTCAACTGGCTGACGCACAGCTTTAGAGACACAGAGCATTTCACCAGCCCTGGGAATTTGCAAGAATTTCAGCCCCCACCGAGCATCCACAGAGCATTTCACCAGTGCCCCCAGTGCGGAGAAAATGCGTTCAGCCAAGTCCTCCCCAACTTCACATCAGACGTAAAACCGGATCAGCCAACTGCAGTCTCCTTCTGTAGGGTGTCCCGTTCTGTTCAACCATCGTTCTTTTTAAAACAGCAAAGGCTTCCCATGAATAGTTGGGTCCTTTTTGGGATTCAGACCCCAAAAAATGGCTGGTTTCCCTGTTGGTGTCAACCGGAAGGGGGTACCAACTCCAAAAAGAAAAACACACCCATGTGGAGAAGTAGGATCCCTGGAAATGAGGAAGCTCGCCCTAGATCTGGCGCATCTTAAATTTGGGAGACCAGTTTTGGTGGTGTGCCGTTGGTTTCCGCTTGAAAAAACCACCCCAACAAATGCCTCACCTCACCCGGGGGGGCAAACCCCCCCCTCCGCCGCGGGGCCGATCACGCCGGGCCGCAGGAAGCGCGCCGGCAAGGCGCGGAGGAGGCCTGAGATGGCCACAAAAGCGGAGCCGGGTGATCCAAATGCGGTGGTGTCCTGGTGGTGGCTTGGTGGTGGTGGCTTGTGTGGGTGGTTTCCAAATGGTGTGGGTGGTGGCTTGGTCTGTTTTGCTTCAACTTGGGAAAGCTTTCTTAACCCACCCCAAACCAGGGTTGCGATTCAACGCCTTGTTCAAACATGTTTAAACCGCCAAACTGCTGTAACCAGCTCCTTCTGGCTTCCCTTTGCAGCGGACCGGGGGTGGTTGTCACAACACATTGTACAACCAACCCTGCCCAGACACTCCCTGCAAAACCCTGGCTGTCAAACAACTTGTTCCAATAATTCAAATAAGCATTGTGTATCAGGTTTATTTGGGTTGTCCTTGTTTTTGGAGCCCCCGCCCGGCATGGTGGTGTCCTTTTAGCCTTCCAAGGAAAGGAACCACACCCATAGGGCTATTTATTCGCCCCCCAAGTTGGGATGTCGCCCTGCAGTCCGGGTGTGTTTTCCACACTGGGAAGCGAGAATTCCCCACTCAATGGAAACGCTCAACCCAAGGGCTCCAAACAACACAAGGAAGCATGGGAAAAAGGTTTCAGCCGAAACCATAAGCCATGGTTTTCTAAGGGGAACCTTCTGAAAGAGCCATTGAAACCCAGCTCTTTCATGTTGAAAAAAGAAAAAGAAAGAAAAAAACTAAGAACCTTAAAATTCATGGGAGTTGAACCCATCTTCAACCTAAGGCGCTGATACCGACCCGCCAGCGTCCCCCCTTTTCGCAGGCGCTGATGGCTGCCTTAGATCCATCAGCCCGGGTGAAGCGTCACCCTCCCCCATGTTGGGCTCGGATTCTGGCATCCAAATGAGAGAGAGTCTCAAAAGTCATGATTTCCTGTTGGTCACTAAGAAACAGAACTGCTGATCTGTAGGCTCCCATCGCAGTCGCAGGGCTTCTTGCGTGTCCGACCTAGAAACATCACCGCCGCCAAACGGACACCTACTTTAGATTGGCCAAAAGGTGATGCGTGCACCGCCCTTTGGGCGATATTTGGGTCTGTCTCAATCAGACCCCCTGCCCCCGCAAAAAATAAAGATAATAATAATAATAATTAATAATTAATAATAATAATAATAATAAAATAATAATAATAATAATAGTAATAAAAATAATAATAGTAATAATAAATGATAATAATAGTAATAATAAATGATAATAATATTAATAATTAGTAATAATGAATGATAATAAGAATAATAATGATAATAATAATAACAACAATAATAATAATCATAATAGAATAGTAATAATAGTAATAGTAATAGTAATAATAATAATACTAATACTAATAATAATAATACTAATACTAATACTAATACTAATAATAATAATAAATAATAATAAATAATAATAAGAAGAAGAATGATAATAACCATAGCAACAACAATAACAACAACAATAACAATAATAATAGTAATAATAATAACCATGTGGTGTCCTGTTGGTGTCCCCTTTAACGCCAACCAAAAGGGTACCCTCAAAAACAGTCATACACAAGGACCCCTTGGACTATGCCATCCGGGCTGAGGGACTGCCGTGGGTCGACTCCAATAGTTGGGTACGCAGGGTTTCGGCCAACCCATGCAACCAACCACTTATATCCATTTACTTAAACCGACTCGAAAGAGAACAAAATGCAAACACGTCCAGTAGTAATAGGTTCCTTTAAAGCCACCAGACAAACAATCAAATGTCCTTGATTGCCTGCCAAGGGCGCTGATCCAGCGCTGGTTTTTGGACTGTTTCAGGTGGCAAACCCAAAATGGGAAAGCCGGATTCTTTGTCTGGGCGACCACTGGTTTCTTTGGGTTTCTTTGGGATTTCTTTGGGTTTTTGTTGGGCAGTTTTGTTTTGTTCTTCTGGGTGTGCCGCTATGTGTGAGGGAGACCGTTGGTGGGTATTGCCGGAAAAAAGAAACTCATAGAACACCACTCATTTCAGAGTGTCCGCCAGACCTGCCTGTTCAAAGTCGTTGAAGAGAAGGACGCCTAAGTTCCGTGACTTGCCATCCCATGGGGCCTAGGGGCCATCTACAAACTAGTTCGATGCCAGCTTTGTATGCCATGCTGCTGTGAAGGACACCACGTCAGCCATCCCGGTGGTGGCAAGAGCTACTGCAGTGGACCACGCCCCGCATTTCTCGCAGGCACTGATGGCCTGAGCCAATGCGCGAGTGAGCGGAAGTCTGACGCTGCATCTACGCAGACTTCGACGTAGGTGCCACAACAGGCTGATGGCTGCCTTGAGAAAGCAACCAACGTCAAACCGTTGGAGGTCGTGCAATGCGGTACAGGTCCCGGCCCCTAAGCGCCTCACGCTGTTGTAGAGGATGCGGTCAGGAGTCAAGCCCCAGCACCTCGCAAGCTGTGGACATGCACAGAAGCGCCAGCCCGGCTGGAAATAGTCTTTCGGCTTATCACGTCGAACTTGTTAGCAAGTTCTGCTCAGCAAGTTCCGCATGACATCTTTCAAGAGAAAAACAAAACTGGGTATGTGCCAAAATGGGGGAACCCCGAAGAGAGGCGCTGTTCTGGCTTCCTCTCAAAGTCCAAAACGAAAAACGCGGGCATCAACTCATGCACACAACACCGCAAGGACGCCAACACAAACCCCGGCTGAATTCTTCGCCCGGGCGCGTCGCGAGGCCGAAGCGGTGCAGGGCCCTCCGCCATTGGAAGCCCTTCTCCAGCGATGCCACGAAGGCGCCCAGGGCGATGAGGTCCAGCTGCAGACCTCAGGAAAGCCACCGGGCCATGGGAGACGTCGGGAAACGCCTTGGCTTTTCGGGAGACGTCATGGGAAAAACAGAACAAGAAAACACGCAAGGAGAAGAAGGAACCAGGCTTTGGTGGGTAAGCATGCTTACCAAAAGCTTACTAACTTACAAAGTATCAACCTTTTAGTGGGGCGCGTCCATGGTACAAGGTCCAAGCCCGTTTCTGACCCACCTAAGTGGGATGAGCATTCAAGAAGGCACCCCAAAGATTCGAAAGAAACCCACAAGACGACCACCCCACCAGGAAACCAAAAAACGAACCTAAAGCTTGGAAAGATTCCAAAGAACCTTCGGAACCGGTTCTGATCCAAGGGAGAATGGAGGGCAGAAGGGTCCTGAACCTTGGGTGGTAAGGGTCCAATGTTCAGCGAACTGCTGGGAAAGTGAAGTTATTGTCTTGGAATTTGTCAAGGGGTTTGCAGCACCTCGGGGGGGGGGGGGGGGGGGGGAAAAGGGGGGTTGAGGTCTCCTGAAATGAAGGATTCACATAAGATTGCCGAGACCGACAAACCATCGGCGCCTCTGTCATGAAACCGACATGACATCAATCATTTGGAGGGGCCATGGCTCGTGTTTTTGAGGCTCAGTTTTTTAGGTTTTCCCTAACTTGACTAATGAGTCTGCCATCTTACGCCCCACGTCAATATCATCTTGCAGCCTTTCTCTCAATCAAGTGCAAATTAATTACAACAAGTGGTGCGCAATTTCACGGAAACATTCTTCGAAACCCACATTAAGAATCAAATCTAGTTTTGAAAGGCCTTTCTGGTTGCAACCAATTAAACAAACAGCTTCAATTTCATGTGTTGCAACAGCATGGCAGGGAATATTGACCTCTGATTGAAACAAACATTGAGCACGGAGACCCAAAGCCCATTGACTTTTGCTTTTGGCTCTGCCAACATGGTTATAAGGTTTATATGGGTTGTCTCAAAATAGGGCACCCCCCAAACATGGTGGTCGTCCCTTTGCTCTCCTCTTTTTAAACCAACCCAAGAAGGGTTCCCTCAAACAAAGACACCCCTAGAGCTTTGTGTAGCCACCTTAAGACCGGCTTGGCAGAACCACGGAACTGTCCTCGCCTACTACCCACTTCAGCTCAGGCAAACACGTGCTGCAGGCTGTGATGGGGCTGTGGGTATACGTCAAAATGGGCGGGGGCACAAAAAATGGGTTGGTTTTCTTTTGGGTGAGTGTCCTTTCCTTCCTTCTTCCTTGCTCCCTTCGTTCCTCAGCTCCCAATCCTATCTATGTGTCCCGGACCCTGTCCATCTATTCCTGTAACCAATTATTGACGGGAATAGAAGGGTCCGGAAGGCACGGACGGGTCCATTCGCTTCACTCACTATTCCTCTCTTCTCCTTACCCTTCCCCAATCCCAGATTGGATGCGGAGCAAGCATCCCTTTAAACCAACCCCACTAAGGGTACCGTTCCAAAAATACGCAAACCCTTCTGTGTGTGTGTGTGTGCTTGGTGCCATGGCCACAATGATGGAACGACAGCAAAAAACCTTAACCACTGCCACAAAAATGCACGTCGGCAAACTCCCAAACTCCAAGTATCCCAAACAATGTTGACCCATACTAGTCAACCCCAGTTTAGTGATAGGGGGAGGGTTCCGAAAGTCTACCCAAAAACAGCAAGGATCCCATGGCCGAGTGGCCGGATCGGCGAATTCGGCCAATCAGCAGGCTAGCACAGCGCCACCTTCCGGGCCTCGCATTGATCACCGCGGTGTGGGTGACGACGCTCGCCTGCAACGCGGCCTGCCTGGCTGCGATAGACGTGGACGAAAGCGTCAAACCCAAGAATGTGGGTCTGCGGTGGTTTGAGAAGGGACAGGGAAGCCTCCCATTTCGGGGGGGGTTCCCCTGTTTGGCGGCAAACCCATGTCAACGAGCCTGTATTTGGGAGTGTGTTCGGGTCCCCAAATTGGGGTATGACCAGGCAAAGGCCCCTGAAGATGGTCAACTGGTATCTGGCTAGCCTTCATATCATGAATCCCGGAGAACAAAATACGAACGCTTCCTCAAGAGGACATGGGGAACACTGGCACCCCATCCCGTAGGGTTTTGTGGGAATTTGTGTGGCCCCCCGCCCTCCATGTCCTCCCCAAACTACTAACACTGAGCTGCCAACAATGGGAGTCACTGGTCATACAATAATGTAGTGTTGATTGCGCCGTGATAGAAGACCTTTGATCATGGAAACCTACCAGCCATCGATTTCTTAGCGGTTCTCACTCGCAGTACGTAGATCCCATGCTTGGACAACCGGTTCAACTCTCACAGAGGCTTGAGTTAGTTCGAGCCGATTCGACCGGATGTTTTGTACGTGAGCTACGGACGCATCCGTATGTGGTGTTAATCGTTGGCTTAAAACAGGGTGTGCCGCTGAATGATTGCCAGGTCTGCAATACTTACAGAAGAAAATGTTGACCTTAAATTAACCTCCTGTCAGAGTACTCAGGGGTGCTTCCCTCAAAAGTGATGCATTCCGTGATTTGTTTCTATCCGGCCCTCATTTGTCTATGTGGATGTGAAATTTAATAGGAGAACCTTTGGTGGACATCATTTAGGTGGGGATGCATGTCCGCCAGCCACTGTTGAGGTGGCCCCCGTTAACCCTCAAGCAGAGACAGCCCCTTTTGACGTCTTTTGCCTGAGAAGTTATGACTACCCCCGATGGGCACTTAAATTCTTAAACCAAAACCCCAAACCCTAAGCGTGTTAGACAGGCAGCCCCCTACTCAACGAAATTAAGACTGATCTCATTTGGGCGTGTCATGTCATTGAGGTTGCCCTGTTTGGGAACTGCTAACAAGGGAACTTTCTTGAGTACCGGTACAGTACCCGTAATCTACATGCAGAAGAAAAGGTTTCCTGTCTCGAAGGAATGACCTGCCCCGGTAAACTCACAAAGCAGCACATTCTTATAGTGGATGGGCAAAATCCGCTTGGCACCAGTTGGTAGCTGGGCCATGAACCAGATGTCATAGGATTTCACACATTCCGACTGTTACAAAGTGCATTCTGTTCATCCACAGTAGATGCAAGATACTGTGCATGCTAGCTGTTGCAGGGAACAAGGGAACAACAACGGAAAACGGGGAACCCTTTGAAATGCTGCAATTTACCAGGGCTCTGTAGTTGGATGTGGTTGGAGCAGTTGCAATAAATTAGGGCATCCGCCCTGGATAAGTCGCATCTGGACCCAAATGGAAACCTGTTCTTTTGTATCCCGTGGATTTCTCAACCTGGAAAAGTCGCATCTGGTACACCCCAAATTAGCGAACATCCAGAGACGCCCCAACTCCGCCGCGCGATTTCTTCTCTGCTCGATCCGCGCGGAGCGCGGCGCCTCAGCGCCTCCGCCAGGCCGAGGCCCCGCTCCCAGCGCCGCGACTTCGAAGCCGCGGAGATCCCCGCGTTCCATGCGCGGAGCGGCGCCTCGGGTTTTGAGGTTTCCAAGGGCCCAAAAGGCTCCAGAAGGCCCAAGAAAAAACCAAAAGGCCGGATCAGGGAGGTCTCAAAATGGATAAACCCCCCCCCTCTTTGGAGTGGGGTTTGGAGGGAAAAACCAACTGGGTTTTGCAACTGAGTGGGTGCTGAACTTTGAGAACAGGTGGGGTTCCGGATATGGAATGGCGAGAAAGGGAAGGAAACAACCCACTTGTAGGGGGTCCGATTTGGACACGTACCCAACTATCAACACTGGCTCCCAAAAGTTTGGAGCGTGAAGCCCCTATTTGTGGAAACACCCACATTTGTCTCCAAATGAGGGCTCCTTCTGGGGTTCCTTTTGGTTGCTGCGCCTGAGGGTTGCGGGTGGAGGTTTTCAGGCTTCCCCAAAAAAGTCGTCAACCCCATCGTCTTCCACTGCAAAGAGCTAAGAAGGGTATATCAACGGGTGCCTTTTTTGTGATGGTTCAAAGGGAAACCAAAGGGAAAGCCGAAGCCTATTTCAAAGGTCCCCTATTTTGAAACAAACCCCGAAGTGCAATGTTCTTGATGGCCCCCTGCGATTAAAGAAGCCCCAAAAACGAGATGGAGTCCTTTTTGCCTTTCACACCGACTATTGAAAGCCCTTCCCTTTGGGTACCTTGAGGGCCCGTCACCACATTCCTCGCGCCCCCCAGACTTGCAGCTGCTCAGTACCATTGACCCTGATAGAAGGAAACAACTTTCGAGATCCTCGAAAAATAACCCGCCCAGATTTGGCTGAAGAAAAACCAAAGAAGCAACAATGGAGGTCAAAAGCAAAAAGTGTTAAACAAAAACTACCTCTGAACCACCAGGATGTTGACGTTGTCCCCAACGTGCACTCTACGAATCGCCATACTATCCTTCCGAATGGGGCTTGAAAAAGGAGGGGCATCTCAAAACCACAAAGAAGCAAGTCATCGCCCTACTATCCTTGTGGGCGGGTTTGGGGGGGGGGGGCAAAAAAGCGGCAGCATTAAAATTGCTTGAAAAAGGAAGCTAAGTCTGGCAAGGCGCGTTGCCCTGAAACTTCTCAAGGGCGGCCTTGTAAGCGAAACCGCCGGGAATCATGCGGAAGGTTCCTTGAGCCTGTGGCCTCGTCTTTGCGTCGGCAAGATTTGCTCCGAGTCTGACGTGGGCCTTTTGTGGATCGCATGTCCTTCGACTTGCTCATTCTTAGTGCCAAAACCACAACTACAGGGGTGGATCCGCAACAGCCGCGAAGCAGTTGTCTAGAGCTGAGTCGCTCCCAATGGGCCCATGGAAATGAGCTCGCTGGCGGTTCTGCCATCAGCTCAATCCTTCGGACTCAAACGCGAACGGGGCTTGGGCTGTCTCCAACCAGACGCAGGAATCTCCAGGGATTCCGTTTTCGCCTCAGTGCGGAATCCACGGCTACGGCTTCGCTTTTCCGCGTGCTGAAAATGGAAGCCCGGACCCAGGGGAGAGATGGGCATGAACTCTCATTAAGGCAACAAAGGTGAAGCATCATTTAGGGGGGGAGAGATTCATGTGGCTCCAACTCTTAAACCTCGCCAGATCTTGTTGACTCTGAGTAAAAAGGTACGCGTATCGAGCAACATGATACGAGGCCCGAAACGATCGCTACAGCTCCTGCATGAAAACTCCCAATCTGCGGGCCATGGCTTCCTTGACAACCCGAACAGGACTTGCAGGGGTCAATAGGCTGGCTACCAGGGCTACGAACACTCGACTTGCCTCCTGACACTCCTGAAGCAAGGGCTGCGCTTGGTCCCCTTGAGGTTCCGGCGCCATACAAAGGCTGGCTGTTCTTTCCCAGCAGCCAGCCGTGCTGCCAGGTGCAGTCGAATGTTTCTGGTGAAACTCACGTTTCTATGTTTGGCTACCCAGCAAGACTTAAACCCAGGGGTTCTCCTTGGGAACACGAATCCATGCGAAGTCACTGCCACTTGTGCTTGAGGGTTACGAAGAAACACGAGGACAGAATTCAGAATCAAGTTAGTCTTGACATTTTGGGAACCCAAATGATGGTATTCGTTGGGTTTCCTCTTGAAAACGAGCCAAACACGGCTTCCCAAAGGGAACACCGGGAGGGGATTCTTAGGGACATTCCGCTTGGCCTGGCGTCGAGCGATCTTGGTCTCTACCCACAAAGCCGCGTCCGTCGAAATGCCGCACCTTCACCGCGCCGGTCTTCCTAGGAAAAACGGCCGAACGACAAAAATGCTTCCGACTTGACCTGTCTCGCCTTTCTTTGAGCTAGAGACCCCTTTTTTGGTGGCTTTTAAGGGCAACCAAAGGGAAAAACATGTGTTGCTGTCTACTTGTTCTCCTCCTTTTTGGGGGGGAGGGGGGCCCAAAGGACGACAGACCCACATGACTCTTACCCCAAAGGCCAGCTCAACACAAGAACTGGGTTGGAGTTTGTTGTTTTTGCGCGACAGCTAAAAGTACCTGTTCCCGCAAGAGGACGGGGCAACGTAGTTTTTTCCTGTCCTTCCCAAACAAAACATTGACTAGTGGGTGGTTTCGTTTTGGACTCCTACCTTGCAAAAAGAAAAGAAAAAGAGGACCCCCTAGTTTGAGAAACAGCCATATGGGTGTGTCCTTCTTTACAAAAACCCCTCGCAAATTGGGTGTTTTCCTGTTCGGTTCCCTTGAAAACCCACCGAAAGAGGGTACCCTCAAAACAGACACAAAGCCTCGAGCGGATTGATTCCCCTCTCAGCCCAGCGGCGGATTCTTGTGCGGCTCGCGGGTGATTTTCAGCTCTGGAAGCTTGGCGTGTTTGTACACCTGGCGTGTTCGCACTTCGCATGTTGCTGGACTGCGTGTAGTTCCTGTGAACACGATTTTGCCCCGTTTAGCTGGTGTGAAGGGGAAGCAAAAGGAAAACAACCATTTTGGGCTCTCACAATTTTGAGACAAGCCCAAATCTATTCCAGGGACATCTTCAAGCCCCCACCAAGCCACAGCCCTTTTTTTGCACCCGAAGGTTCCAACAAAAGGGAGGTCCCAAACCGGACCCGGTACCTGAAGACGTGGGTTTCCCGGAAGGGTCACACTGCAAACATGTCCGGAGATACGGGAGCGTCGCAGTATGCCTGCTCCGTGGCCTTGTACACTCCGTTGGCCTCCTCTCGCCAGCAATTTGGGGGAAGTGTCTTTGAGTCTTGTTTGAGAAGGAAAACCAAAGCCCTTCCCCCCCCCCATTTCCCCATTTCCCCATGTTCTTGTCTTTTTGTTTGGGGGGGGGTCGGCAAAAAAATGGCAAACCCATCGGTCGGAGTGTTCACGTCAGCAATGGGCCATGGGCCACGGGCATGTTTGCCGTCCCCTACCCAGTTTTTGCCGAACAGCTTCTTGGAATCTCCGTGACCCCTTTGAACTTGTCGTTGCCCCGGAACCCCTTTCCCATGTTTAAAGAGTGATGACTCCAGGTACTCATCTTGCTCGATTCAGTGGAGCGTGCGATTCATTCTCGCTAGGGGTCATCTTGCAACTCTAGACGAACGGGAGTGTAAAATGATCTACAGTCGGGATTTCTCCATCCTCTACTCACAAGCGGGAATTTTGCCCTCTATTTTCACCCCTGGTGTCCTGCATTTCGCACACGGGCTTTGATTAAAACGCCGCATGGGAGGCATCGAAACAGGTCCAAAAACTAAAACAGGGCCATAATATGTTGTAGTTACATGTAGACACAAGTGAGTCTGTGGCTGTGTGTGGTTTCTGACGGTACCCCTTGGCTATGTTTCTTGGGAAACCAAAAGGATTACCCACCTTTTTTCTGGGACGAGCCACCCAAGTGGAGCTGTGGATGAAGTGAATATGCAGTCAGTGTGATCCTCTGCCTCCTTTGATTACTTTCTTTTGTGGTGCCATGGACATGAAATATCAAAGTGAGAGGCTGCATGCATTGCATCCGACACATCATAAGGCGTGCGCTAAGTTGTCAAAGCCACATATATATATATATGTATGTATATATATATATACACATATGTACATATTATTCAAGGGCATGAAATCTGAGCCAACCAAATGGGGGCAAGTGCCGCCAGAGCGGCACTGAAGACGCATTCAAAAAATGCGCTGAAGCTGTTCCTCTGGCATTCCTTGTCACCATTCTCTTTCCTGGCCTCGCAACCGGCTCCAGACACCACCACAGCCTGCACAGCTCAGGTCCCTCTGAGTGTCGTTTTCCCCACTTGGGTATGTTTTTCCTTGTTGAGATTACCCCTGCAGGAGAAGATTGAAAGGAAAGCCGTGTCAATCTCAAGACACGTCCACTTCCATGCCTGCGGCAGCTCATTGAAAGCCATGGGAGGTATGCTCGGAACACTGAAGTGCCTATTTGCGTGTGTTATATAGCGCCTTCTCTTTGCCCGGCACATCTGGGTGAATGCTTTTGCGTCTTTGGAAGCTGATGAGAATCCCTTGTAATTTGGCAATTCAGAAGCCATGTGGGAGGGGAAGTAGCTGTCCATACTGTCGAGGCTGTCCGAGCAGTCCATGCTGTCAGTGCCAAGCAAAGCAAATCATGCGCTCCAGGCGCTCGCACAAGAATCCCTTGTGGAAACTTGCCCCACATGCCCAACTCACATGTGCCACACTCAAAGCTTCTTATGCCCTTCGGACCGTTGCAATGGTTGTATATAACAATGGTAATAATAATAATAGTAATAATAATAATAATAGTAATAATAATAATAGTAATAGTAATAGTAGTAATAATAATAGTAATAATAATACTAATACTGATAATAATAATAAATAAATATATGATAAAAAAAATATATAATAAATAATATATAATACATTATGAATAATAAATAATATATAATATATAATAAATTGTGAATAATAAATAATAAATGATGTATAATAAAATAGAAATAATACATAATTCGCCTCGGCCCCAAAGGGGCCAAGGGAGCTCAGATCTCTTCTCCAAAGAGAATCTTCGCTTTTCCCCTCCCGGCCCGCCCCCCCCCACCCATGTCGGCTTGCCCAAAATCCTGTCCGGCGGGCCTTGAAATTTTCGGGGTTCGTCGGCGTCCAGCTCCATGGGTCCATTCATGACCTCCTGCTGGCCAGGCCTGTCTGACGTGTCTGAGACTAGGCTCAGGCCCAGCCCAACCAGCAACCCGCCTGCTGGCCAGGCCTGTCAGCCCAGCCCACCCACTAAGCCTGTCTGGCGTGTCCAGGCTGGCCTGACCTCCTGCTCGTGTCTGGCCCCAAGTCATCCAGCAGGCCCAGCCCCTTCGGCGCAGTCTGAGACTGGTCTCAAGGTCAGCCTGAGACTAGCCTCAAGCCCAGTCCCTCTGGCGTGTCTTGCGTGTCTGCGACTGGCCTCAGGCCCAGCCCAGCCAGCAACTCGCTACCCAGCCTCAGGCCCAAGTATGAGACAGGCCTTGCCCATCCAGCGACCCGCCCAAGCAACAGCGTAGTCCGGCTGCCCAGCAGCCAGCAACCCACCCATGGCTTCGCAGCCTCGTGGCTGAGACTAGCTTCAGGCCCAGCCCAACCAGCAACCCGCCTAAGCAAACCCCACCCAAGCCCACCCTGTTTGAGACTTGCAGGCCTCAGCCTATCTAGCGCCGAGACTGGGCCTCACCAGCTCGGCAACTTGACGGGCTTGCTTTTAAACAGGGGTCCTTACATGAAAGGGGACATATGGAACCCCAGGTGCTTGAAGGAACATGCAAGTAGAAGCCAAATGACCACCAGCTACCAACTGCAAAGCTGCTAGGTGAATTCACACGGTAGGTTTTTTGTTGCGGTTCTCATCCTGAAGGACCGAAGGATGTGTGTTTAGATGAATCCTTGCTGAAATGAATATTCTTTATGTCCCCCTGTTGGTTTTACAGGGAAACTATCACTATTGAGGATATTTTCCGGGGTACTTAAGCAAATGGAGGTTTGTATTCCCACCATGTACTTGTCTTGGGCTGAGCAACCGAGCAAGAAATGTGTGTCATGGCAAGCCGCCAGCCACGTGAAATGGAGGTGCCCAAACACCCAAAGTTGGTCTTGGTTGTTCAGTGACACCAATTATTGTTCCCCTTTTTATGGAGGCCAAGCCCCACTAAAAAAGCTCATCCCCAGAAAGA